AGAAAGAAAGAAAGAAAGAAAGAAAGAAAGAAAGAAAGAAAGAAAGAAAGAAAATGCTTAAAGTTCTGTGGTGATTCTTTGATGTCTGAGAAATCAGGTCCACATTCCTGTGCTTGATATACATATGCTCCTTTGTAATCTGCTCCTTCTCTCTCAAATTCTCCAAATCCTTATGGTATTAGTTTACAGATATCCATTCTTTAGTGGACTTTGACTCCAGAAGAACTAGAATAACATCTTACTAGTTCAGAGATCTGCAACTCCCAGCACAGTTCCTGGTACATAAGGTCAATCAGGGAATAAATAAACTTGGCTTAAAAGAGTAGAAATAAGAAACGGTGATACAGAGGACTCCAATGTGTTGCATACATGATTTGGAAATAGAGTGCTAGTAGCACAGTAAGACAGGAGGAGAGGGCTGGGGATACAGCTCAGCGGCACAGCACCTGCCTGGCAAGCGCAAGGTCCTGAGTTCAATTCCCGCCCCGCCCCCCAAACAAAGGCAAGACAGGAGGAAAAAGGGAGGAACAATTTGAAGAATATATACCATGAACAATCAGCACAGAAACTGTTACCCATGATAAAGAAAGCAAGTAGAGGAGCTGACGTGACATAACGAATAATTATAGACTAACCCTTCATGTAGACAGCACAGTTAAGGAATGAGGAAATGACTCAAATCTAAAACGTTATTATCCCCCTAGTACGATAACTATAACTTAATATTTTTTTTTTTTTTGGTACCGGGAATTGAACTGAGGACCTTGTGCTGGCCAGACAGGTGCTTGTACCACTGAGCTATATTCCCAGTCTGGTTATAACTTAATATTTTCTAAGGATTTGGAATTTTCTAGTGTCCTAAGATCAACTAATAATGTGACTTATTAGTAGACTAGTATAAATAAGTCAGATAATCACTAGTATGAAGTCAGATATGACTGCACAGGAAGCAGATATAGAACAAAATTTGATTTAATTCTCACTTCTCATTGCAGAATAAAGTCTATTAGTAACTTTTTTCCTTTCACTTTTTCCCTTTTTTTATTAAAGGTAATGTATATTATATTGTATTATATCCTGAGTAAAGAAACATAATTACACTACTACATATAGTAAAGGCTTAGGGCTGGGGATTTAGCTCAGCAGCACAGCACCTGCCCGGCAAGCACGACATAGTGAGTTCGATTCCCAGTACCGGAAAAAAACAAACAAACAAAAAAAAACACAAATACATATAGTAGAGGCTTAATTAGTAAAACAAGTACTTAAAAAAAAAGTTCTCTTCATGTTTGGTTGAAATGAGAACATCTTTAAAGCTTTTACTTTTTAAATCCATTTACTCTGACTTCAGAAACACTAACAAAAAAGAAAAGAAAACCCCAAAGGGACTTGCATGAGAGACGTAACACAGCCACCGCACAGAGAGCCGACTGTATGCTGGGAGGCAGCCTGAGACCTCAAGTGCATCATCCAGCTATCATCACCCTCCTCTGGGATGGTGATAGCATCATTTCCCGTAAAAGCCAGGCCACGAAAATGAAAGGCACCTGCTCCATGGATAACAAGGAGAGGCCCAGAGCTATGTGAATCTAAAGTCCACGCTGATAAGACCTAAACTACACACAGGAAGCATAAGAAATCACTACAGACTATGAACAAGCTGGCTAGTAAAATTCAAGCTACACAAGCTACAGCACTGTGGAATATGTTGGAATGAGCAGCATGAAGACACTCCGCTGGAAATTTCTGGAAAGAGTAGGCCTGAGCGGATCTCACCCGAAGTAACAATCTCATAGGGCGAAGGTGCAGGAACAGTAGTCAACGCGGACGGGAGTGTGCACAGCAACACACTGTGCAGCCACATGGGGGCACCTAGGCCAGGACCTCCCACCGCTGGCTGCCCCTGCTCCGTCTCACGCTGGCCAGGCTCTCCTCAACCACACTGAACAGCTGGATATCCTCAAACAGGCAATCTCGACACTTGCATGAACGGCTGTCACCTAACTTCTAACTGGACAAACTCCTTCCTACTCAGTGGAAAAAGCCAGCACGTACGCATGTGGAATCATTCCTTTGCTCTGGGCAAAAGCAAAACAGACCGCATCGTGCTATAATTTGCTCTGTCTACACCGCGAGTTCTTCCTGACTCACACAGTGTGTCAGGTGAAGTTTGTACAGAAACACAAAGTGCCAACTCGATCTCCCAGGAACTCCCAGAGATCATTATCTTTGTCAAAGAAAGCAGATGGTGGTGAGGAGTTGAACTTGTTTCCTCTTGACTGACCATCACTGAGATTCACTGCCACACTTCGTGATTCCCTGAGCATCACCCACATAATGACTGAGTGACCCCTGCCCTCCACATCCTCTGCCCTTTGCGCTGGCCGTAAGCCTCAGCCTGGCTGGCTCTCTGACCTTCCCCATACTGTGATCACACCAGCAAACCAAGAAGCTGTGGGCTGAGGCGGCTCTGGGGGAGGCGGTCAGAGTGAGGCTGGGGAATGCCAAGCCTCGCCCTGCCCTGCAGTGTCCACATAGCAAACACTAAATCGGGATGGTGGAGGTGACCCCAAAAAAACCAAATGGCAAGATGTCTGCTTATGCCCTCCTCGTGCAGACACGCAGAAAACATAAGAAAAACCCCAGAGGTCCCCATCCGTTTTGCAGAATTCTCCAAGAAGGGCTCTGAGAGATGGAAGGCAATGTCAGGAAAGAGAAATCTAAACGTGATGAAATGACAAAGCAGATAAGGTACACACTATGATCTAGAAACAAAGGATTATGGGCCAGTTAAGAGAGGTAAGCCGAAAAAGGACCTAGTATCCCCAAAAGACCACCACCTGGATTCTTCTGGCTCTGTTCAGAAATTCCACCCAAGATCAAATCTACAAACCCCGGAATCTCTACTGGAGACGTGGCAAGAAGCTAGGTGAGATGAGGAATAACAGTGACAGTGAAAAGCAGCTGCACGTCACCAAGGCGGGGCTGAAGTAGGAGAAGGGCACCACTGACCGCAAGTCAAAGGCAAGTTTGATGGCACGGAGGATCCTGCTAATGCCCTAAAAAAGTGGCAGAAAGACAAAGACAATCAGGAGGAGGAAAAAGAGGGGGAGGACAAAGATGAATAAAACCCTGCACCTGTCTCCTTGTGAACATCTTAGGGTAGGGAGCACCGGGATTGGCAGGCCTCTCCTTTCACATGTGTCTACTGTACTCATTAGGTTTAATTACAAAATGTGATCACAGTCATACCGTAGTCTCCCAAAATGCTCTAGAAACTGTTAGTAGTTTACATGAACTGGAGCGTCTGGAGTACCCTGAAACTACAGCAAAGTTGTACACATTTCCAAACATTTTTAAAATGAAAAGCCACTCTCCTGTTCTCAAAACAACTGACCCTCAAAGAGGAAGCTGGAGGCTGTGGTCATGATCTCTGACTCTTTTTGTCTCCCCTGTAGCATTTCCTTAAAATCTGAACTTGGGAACTCTGTGTAATGAACAGATTTCCTCGGATACCTCCTGCTGTCCTCATTAAGTTCAGTGATGGCTGCAGAGTCAGAGCAGCATTTCTGTCCGATACTTTGAGCCACTTCATCTTCAGTGTCGATGCCAAAAAATCACAGGCAATTTTTTTCCTGGGAAGCTTTAAAATTAACTATCCTAATGGTCACGTTTCCTATCTCTGATTATGCCAACTGCTGAATTCAACCTGAAATTTATTGGTAAAAAGAAAAAAAAAAAACTGTTCAAATTACTACCAGTTACGCTGATGCTTAATGACTCCTTTTCAGTACCTATTTTTGTCTGTGGCTCAGGGTGAATCTGTGAAAGGCAGCACAATACAAGTACATGCCTGCTCACTCACTCTTCCCTGCTCTATAAACACTTCTCTCGTAAGCTCAAAAGCCCAGAATTGGCTGCAGAAAAATAAATCACAAAGACTGCAACTAGATGGTTCTCTATCAGAGTTCAATGTAAAAACTGCATTTTCATGCCAATTCATCACATCTACATTGGCCCAGAACACTAGAACAGTAAAATCTCAAAGTCTTTTTACCCTTTGGGATCAAGAAGGTCTCGAACTTTTTCATTATAAATTTCCATGTAGGACACTTCTACTTTAAAACTCTGCTCTTCATTTTCCTCTTTCTGGGTTCGATCGAAGAGTCCACTGCAGAGTCTTGGGATTAATCCAGGTTGGTCAGCTGTGCCCATCATAGTATAAGATTTTCCAGAGCCTGAAAATTGGAAATCAGAGTTATTACTGTCTCTGTGAGAAATTTACATACATAATCCTCTTTTCATTGCTTAAATTGCTAGCACTTAGCAAAATGCCCAAAATACATTAAGAAATGTTCCAAATATAGTAAGAAAAAAATACAGAAGCTTTCCTATTGCAAATGTGAAAGTCAAAAGTAAACATGTTTTAGAAAGAAAAAAACCTACTTTAATTGTCTTATTTTAAAAAATCTAAAACAACTAAAAAACAGGTTTGAAAAGTTTTCTAAAATAAACTGGAAAGAGCCATACGATTAATCCATATTGGCCCCAGAGCAAAGTAACTTACTACCATCTTTTGTTTTTTTGGGGTTTTTTTTGGTCTTTTTGAGACAGGGTCTCACTATGCAGTTCAGGCTGGCCTTGAACTCACTTTGTAGCCCAAGCTGGTCTCGAACTCACAACAATCCTCCTGCCTCAGCCTCCTGAGTGCTGGGATTACAGGCATACGCCACCACACCCAGCAACTACCATCTTGTAATAGTGTGTGAACCATGAATAATCTTGTTGTAATATAAATTATTTTCTCCATTATAATAGAAATGTATATTAATTAAAGAAACTTCAGGAAAACAAAAATGGAAAAAATTAAATCACTATAATCCTATCATCTAAAACCAATAATTTTTGACAGTTAAGTCTAATTTTTTCCTTTTCAGCAGCAGTGATTTTGTAAACATGCTCTTAACCATACACGTTTCTGTTTTTGTCACTTGACATTTTGTCAATATCACAGCACTAATGCGTCACTTCCTATGTTCTAGGCTGAAGTGGGTACACAGTAATTTGTCAGGACAACCCTGTGATGGGGGCCTAGCACTAAATGCATTTTACAGAGGAAACGGAGTGCAGTAGTAGAGCTGGCATGGCCTGGCTCGCAGTTTCTGTTCTCTTAACAACTACACATAACGCTGCTTGAAACCATCATAAGCATTGTTCTGTGAAGAACGGTCGGGGCTGGGGATTTAGCTCAGCGGTACAGCGGCTGCCTGGCAAGCACAAGGTCGTGAGTTCGATTCCCAGTACCAGAAAAAAACAAACAAAAAAAAGGAACAGTTTGCAGTTGAACACCTGTATGACACACTCTTATAAAAGTAACTAGTTCACTTAAAATTTCTCCTCTTAATCCCGTAAGTACAGAAGCCAAAAGGCTCCATATCAATCACAATCAGTGAGATATTACTAAGTGTATTCTTTTTGGCATTCCTCTGTTATGCTCCTAGGAGACTATGACATACAGGCATAGCTATCAATATATTCAATGGTCATAGCTCTGTAATGTAGTAAAAAAATGCAGAATACAACCAGTGCCATGTGAGAAGATCAGTAAAGAAAGAGAACCCTAATCCTGGTTTTACTATACTCGTTTTAAAAAACTGTTTATAGCCGAGCGTGGTGGCACATACCTGTAATCCCAGCACTCAGGAGGCTGAGGCAGGAGGATCACTGGGAGTGCAAGACCAGCCTGGGCCTCAAAGTGAGCTCAAGGCCAGCCTGAACTGTATGGCAAGACCCTATCTCAAGAAGACCAAAAAAAAAAAAAAAAAAAAAATGCTTATAGTCTACTTTCATCATCTGTAGTAGTTCTTGAAAAGGAAAATAACAAATAAACCAGCAATATATTACCCAATAAGCATGGTTCTATTTTCTCTTTCACTGAAAGATATTTGTTTTGTGCATCTACAGTATTTAACATTACCTGTCTGAACCAGGTGTGGTGGCCTATAATCCCAGCACTTGGGAGGCTGAGGCAGGAGGATCGTTGCTAGTTCGAGGACAGCCTACGCTACAAAAGTAAGCTCAAGGCTAGCCTGAACTGTATAGTGAGACCCTGTCTCAAAAAACAAACAAAAAAAAACATTACCTGTCTGTCCATAGGCAAAGATGCACGCATTATAGCCATCAAAAGCATTCTGAAGGATGTTCTCCCCAAGGCACTTGAAAACATCATCTTGACCTGAGAAAAAGGATGTTTTAAGCCAAAACCACATATGAACAGTTCAAACCAACCAATGAACAAAAATCTCAAAATGTACCATCAGCTTATTTATCTCCAAACACAATTTTTTTTTTTTTTTGTCTTTTTGAGACAGGATCTCACTACACAGTTCAGACTGGCCTTGAGGTCACTTTGTAGCCCAGGCTGGCCCCGAACTCGCAACGATCCTCCTGCCTCAGCCTTCCAAGTGCTGGGATTACAGGTGTGCACCACCACACTGGGCCAAACACAATTTTTAAATGACAAATACTCCTAAAGACTTATGTGTCCTTATATCTACTTAGCACATGAGGGGAAATCAGTAACATTATTGTTATAAATATCAGAAATGTATACTTGGGACCTAGGTGTACCTGAATTTAACTACATACTACTCAGTCAATGCTTTTATCTAATGGGTTAGTGAGTTCAGAAAAATCATATACCACAATATTCTATCTTCGTTTCCTAGATGATAATTTCTTGTTACAAAATCTATAATTTATAGCAGTTAGGACAAGGAATAAGACCTATTTCCCTCAGCTTTCAATCATGGACACAAGTGATAGCGTCAAGTTCCCTAGCACAGGCCAAAGGAGGTATGATGATAATCAAAATGTGAAAATGACAAGTCACCTACCTCACTCAGTCTCACATGGAATAGGGAACCTCTGGATGCTGCTATCTTTGAGCAAGGTACTCCATTATGTCTCACTTCCTATTAACTTACCAGGGAATTTGTCCTTTTGAATTTGAGGTGATCCCTAAAGTCATCAATGAGTCAGCAAGACCAAATGCACCTTAACTTTTGAAACAGCCATAGTATTAATCTTTCTCATGATAGAAGTCAATAAAATATGATGCTCAATATCTAAAAGAGAGGCCAGCTCTAGTGGTGCATACCTGTAGTCCTAGCTAGTTAGGAGGCTGAGGTGGGAGAAATTACTTGAGTCCCAGGTGTTCAAACCCAGCCTAGGTCAGACAGTGAAACCTGGCCTCACCAAAAAAAAAAAAAGTGAAAGGAATTGTTTAGAAACAGGTGACATGAGCAGTAAGGAAAAAAAAGAAAAGGCTACCACAGTAGTCCTGACTTGGCGGGGAAAAGGGGCTGGAGGTGGTTATAGTAAAGGAGAGTGATCAAACAGTCTTCTGGAGCACAGAAAACATCTGGAGGGAAGATGGTCCATCCCGTTCCATTAGAGAGAGAAAACAGGGCTCTGCCAGGTGCGGCGGTTTCATGAATTTCAAAGGGGCGCTCAGGAGCAAAAGCCAGGCCATCTGGGATTCCTTCTCTCCTGGCCACTGCATTTCTTTCCTTCCCCCCCGCAGCCTCTCCAGACCACACTGCTAGCACCTCAGGGAACCTAAGAGCCTACCATGTGCTCCTGGTCATGTGAGCCCTGGTGACATGTGTGTGAGACCAGCTGCCCAGGGCACCAGAGTCACTTAATTTTATCACCTCATACCAATATCTCTGTGTAGGTTTCTACAGTTACGTGCAATTGTACCCTAATAGTGTTTGGAGAATACACTGGGCCGTCTTTTCTGTACCACCAGTAGTGAACAGGATCCCGTGCTCTCTTACCTGCATACTTGTCTCGGACAGATTCATCCATGGACCAGAAACAATGATCATAAGCAAACACCTGTTGGAAAGTGAACACAACAGTGTGCACAACACTGACAGAATTGCTCATAACAGCGTAGTTAAAACAACTTACTGTCATGCAATAGGGACTAGTTTTTCACGCACAGGAGTTAGGACAACTAAGCACCCCACAAGTGATACAGATTTGTAATCTACACAGAAAACTATTTGTAACGTTAAATGGAGAAAGAAAATTTACAAAACAAAATTTTGGTTATGATACATAGTTACAAATATAAAGTTTACTTTGCATAGTGGTATAAAGCAGTCTTTACTGCTGAATATTTTATTTTGTAAATTTTCTATATTTTTAGTTTTATAATCAAAGAAAATAAAAATAGCTCTATAATAAAATTTAAAGAAGCTTACAACAGCATGTAGAAAATAGTTATAAAATAGTAATTTTTAAAATAAATTATAGCTAGCTATATTCAATATTGTATGTTTTCAGATTCTAGAAGACAGTGACAAGATGATGTTAATGACAAAATTATGTGCACCTAAAATAGGATTCCATATTTATACTAAAATCTATATAAAAGATAATCTGACTAAAAGTGGAAGAACCTACACTAAAAATTCTACTTAGGAACAAAAGAGATGATTTTCATTTGATCTTCTGCCTTACTGCCACTTTGTAAAATATGCACATGGTTCTTTTGCAGTCTTTTAAAAGTTTTGCTTCACTAACGATATCTTTAATTACTGGAGAATCCTATCAGTTTTATATGCGCTTGTTCATGTTTTATAATTTCACCTTTTTATGGATTTTTAAATGTAACTGCTTTAAAATTCACCTCTGTTGGCCTTCCATCAAATATTGCTCACTTTGGAGCTGCCGCTGTGCTTCCTGACCTGTCCTCCCCCTTTACAGAGTGGCTCCAAGGGCCCCCTAACCAAGAGTGTGTCTGTTACAGCTTCCATGGTGCTTCCTTTTCCCTTTCCGATGGCCACCTTTACATGGCCAGTTCACCTCCATTTCCATTACGTAAGCCTAGACTTTGGTCTTCCCAAGGCCCAGTGCCTCTGTCCTTCCTATTAACACAATAGTGGTAGCCGGTATGTTTTCAGCTTTTTAAAGCCTTCAACCAGTCACAGAGGAGCCTCCCCCAAATCAGTTTCACTTGGTGAACATGGCTCCAGTCCTCTGCCATTAGTGAGAGCCCCTGGATTGGCAACAGCCAAACTTCAATCACCTCCAGCACCACGTCTAATTCCAAGGCCAAGCAACTGTGCTGCTTCAGCCCCCCCCACTGCTGCTAAAGACGTACATGCTGTTTGTATGAAGACGTGATTTGTGTACTTTTAAATATTTATTTGTCCCTGTTATGTGCCCGGAATTGGCAGGGACAATGTTTCTCTGTGAACTCATAAGCTAACTTGACCAGAAGTCTAAAAAATATTTTTTTAAGAAAAGGAGTTGCAGTCAGACTAATGAGGTATACCTGCTAATATTTTCCCCACCACTACCTAAAATAAACTCAAGAAAAGGGAGAGGGAAACAGGAGAAAGAAGTGGGTAAAGAAGAGCAATTCTTAAAAACAAGATTGCTTGCTTGAGCCTGGATGAGAACTGAGAAACCCAAAAACAGTGCAGCAGTTGCCGTGCGATGGGCGGAGGTGAGGGTGGGACCACAGAGAAGCCACACTGACAACTCCACAGAAGATGGGTGCGAAGGACAGGAGCAGTTCAGGCAGAATCCGAGGAGCCCAACTAGAGAGGATCTTGACAGCACCTAAGAGGACGAGCCAAGCACCCAAGAGGATGACGAGCCAAACACTTTGGACAAGGAAGGCTCAGAGCACCTCTGCGCACACAAGCAGCCAGGCCAGGCATGGCATCTCTGGATGGGGCCATGATAGGAAATGAGGCCAGGGAGGTGAGCAGAAGCCCAGGGCTGCCAAGTCCCAAGATGAGGCAGGAACCCTGGAGCCCCCAGAGATGCCACCCAGCCGTAGTACTGCACACTGATAGCCCTCCACCTTCCCCACAGCTCAGCAGATGGCTCAGCAGACGTCTCTCAGCAGTGGTGGCTCACTGTCAGCAGTCCTCAAGCAGGGAGAGGAGCAGGAGGAGGAGAAAGCTGGAAGAGGGGCCCAGGGGAGTATGTATCAGAACGTCTAGCTGGGGCTGCTTTCACACTCCCAGTTGTCACTCATGGTGAGAATCACTACAGCAGGATAAGATTAAATGAAAAGTGATGTTCAAACTACCTTCTGGTCTAGTCTTCAACTCTCTCCTTTATAATTTAATTCTGTTCCAAGGCAGTTCAAGCTGAAAATTTCCTGATTTTTTTCTTGTAAGCTTAGCTCTCCTTTCAAAAGGCAGTAAACTTATCAGAGATCAGATCTGCATGGCAGTCCCCTCTTCATATTATTGAGTTTTTCCTAGTCTTTTGGTTGGGAATTTCTTCAACAACCAGATTTCTTACAATTCCAATAGAAAAGCTATCACTGGGGCTGGGATTTAGCTCAGCGGCACAGCGCCTGCCTGGAAGCGCAAGGTCATGAGTTCAATTCCCAGTACGGGGGGGTGGGGGGGGGTGGGAAGCTATCACTAAGGTAACCACAGCAGTACCTAAAACCACATGAAAGCCCAGTTCAAAAAACAGGCACAAAGGAGCTGCAGCTGACAGCCAGCAGGTCAGGGAGCTGAGATTTGAACGTGCTGCTGTACACACTGCCCAGCTCAAAAGTTCATACTCTCTACCACTAGGCCAGGTAAGCTCTATTCCTGAATCCCAGTAGCCCCCCTGCCCATAGAGGATGCATTCTAAGCCCCTCAAGAATCTTAAAATCACTTGAAAGCATGGATAGTACTGAACGTTATAGATACAAATACTGAACCTTATAGTATTTTTCCTATACATAGAAGCCTAAAATAAAGTTTAATTTATAAAGGAGGCACAGCAACAGATTAACAATTAAAAATAATATAGAACTGACGACATACTGTAATAATTAAAGTTATATGGATGTGGTTTCTTTCTCTCAAAATATCTACCGAAATCTAACGAAGTTCACCTCTAAAACCTGAAACCACAGGCAGGTGGCAACTGCTGGGTATGAAGGAGCCACAGCTGGGCACAAAGCCAGGGGCTGAATAACACTAAATGATCCTCTTTAAATTTGAGCAATTTTGTAAATTATTATAGGTCTCTTCCAGCCAAAGACTTCAGAAAGCAGATAAGCCCCTCTCTTTCTAAACCATTTTCCTGAAAATTGAAAAAAACTTTTTTCAAGTAACAGACTAAACTCACAGTAACAAACTCAAGTAACACAGAAGCATTAAGTGAAATTGCAAGATCTTCTCATTTGCCCAAGTACACGTCTCCCTAGAAGTAACTACTGTATTGAGACCACAGGTTTATCCTTTCATCATTTTAGCCCACACATTTTCTCTAAACACTGAGATAGAATTCAGTTAATGCAGCACGGACAGTTTTTACATAGTCATGAAATAGTTCCCTAACATCTTCACTCCAATCTCCAGCCTCTGTTCCACCAAAAAATAAAATCAAAATAACTCAGCACCTTCTACTTAGGAAAGACAAGGGAAAGTTTTATAAATGTAAAGAAACCAGTGTCTTATTCAACTATATTTTAAGACATTCAGCATTTCAAACAGCATATCTATCCATATTTTAGTAATAATAATAGAGAATAGAATTTCAATTCAACCACAGCCTCTAAAATAAAAACCACCAAAATGCAGATAAAACCACATTTCCTGGAAGTTCCAAGTAACTTCAGAGAATGGGCAACTGAAATACAACCCTTGTGCCCGCTTCAGTACACTCATCCGTGCCCTGGCAGACACAGAACAGCTCCCACACCCCAGAAGTTGCCTTAGAATAGGGGCTCAAACCAGAGAAGGGGGCACCACAGGTTTCTGAGGGCCTGGCAATGGCTTCCCCGCTGGCTTGGGAGCCAGGAGGATGAATCAGCTACCACAGTGTGACCACACTTTAGAACTACCAGTTTTGTGCCAAAATATGGCACACAAGGAATCTGTGTTGCAGTTGCTAGGAAACTGGGCAGAACTGGTCAGAGTGCAAACAGCTTTCCATAACCCTCTGGCTCCTCCTTTGCCAATCGGCAGCTTCGGGCCTGTGAGAAGGTTGAGAGCTTACATGACTTTTACAAACAAGCAGAGGGAAAGCATTTTCAGTTTTGAGGGGAAAACTTCCAGTACTTCAAGTTTACACAACAGAAGACCTCTACAAATACATTATGAAAATCACTTACCTTCGGCTGACCCCTGCGTTCCCAAAAGAATCGCCATGGACATGAAAGAAAAGAAAGTTAAAATAGTTTAGAAAACTTTTTGAAAGGCAGAAAGATGATAAACATGATGCAAAATTGCAGTAAGAAAACAAAATATTACCTGTGAAACCGAATAGTAACTAAAAGGTAAATTAGTGTCAATTAGCTATTAGGGTAGAGTGCTCATCAAAAACTAACTTGTGTTTCTCCCATAGAAGCAAGATTTTCTGAATACTGGATAATTTCAAAATTGTATTTCTGCCTTTTGCTCTTTTGTTTGTCCTTACATACGGCTTATAAATACTTGTTTTAAAAATCTTTACTTCTTACATCTGATTTCACTTCAAGTTGTTTTCTCTGCTTATCAGCTTATCCTCTTCTTAAAATTTTTAATATTTATTAATTTATTTATTTATTTGGTGCCGGGAATTGAACCTTGTGCTTGCCAGGCAGGTGCTTATGCCACCGAGCTATATCTCTGGCACCTTATCAGCTTATTCTCTTATCTAAACAGATGCTTCTATAAAAAATGAATTCTGTTCTGGTGAAGGAAAAAAGTTAGAAAGACAACGAATTCCCTACCAGTGATTTACTGTTTACTAAATTACTCATGACTCATACCTCTGTACCTACCCAGGCACTACTAATATCCCTGACCTTCCCTCTGAAACTGCCACTAGCTTACATCTCCCCAGGGTACAGAAGCATAACTCAGTGTGCATATCCAGTACAATTATGAAATAATCTCAAATTTAGAAAAAAGTTGTGTCTGGTTGCTAATCCGTCTGTATGGTAATTAACCTTATAGGACTTACAAGATAAATGAATCAGATGCTGGTGATAAAATGGGGAGGGGTGGAAGGGAAGGGGAAAAAATTGAGTGTATTAGATACATGTACCAATTCCCCACAATAAATCTAATCATTATGCACTGCAAACATGTACCAATTCAAATACAAAATTTTTTAAAAAGAAAAAAGTTATGAGAAAAATACAAAGAACTCCCATGCACCTTTCACCTAAATTCACCGTTAATGCTGCCGCGTGTACTTTAATGTCCCCTCCTTTCCTGCTTCCACAGAAATAAAACATATACACATATTTTAATTTCTGAACCACTTGGAAGTTACAGAAATGTCCCTTCTTCCCTCAACATTTCAGTGTTTAGTTCCGAAAAACAATAATGCTCACTTCCATAACCATAGGATAATATTAAAATCAGACAATAATAAAGGCAAGTATTTTTGATCCTGGCATAAAACAGGAACAATTGATCCTTCTCAGAGAATCAAAACTCCCCAACTGCAGCCCGAAACTTTAAAGCAAACTATACATGCAAATGTTTCCTTCTAATCGTCTGTACATCTTGCTGTCCCTTCATCTCATAGAATTTTCTCCCATAAGAAATTTAACATTTATTCGTACCAAGTGATTTCAGGTAAGGGCATGAAAACACCATGGAAGGTCTAGCAAATGAGAGATGTATGTCTGACAGATTGGGATTAACATTCCAATGTGGCTGATACATAAGAGAAAGTAATTTCTTTGTAATAAAAGATGCGGAAAATTTCCTGACAAAAAAGACTCATGAGATCTGGGTAGATACTACTAGCATATGCTACCATCTTTTTATACATCTTTACATACAACATAGATTCTCCTCAGCTGTGGACAGCTTCGTTAAAAGCCCAGCTGCAGGTAAGAAGAGAAGCAGCAAGTCTGAAATCCCACAGCAGGCCAAGTGCATTGTGCAATACCTCATTTGAGTTTCACAATAATTCTGCAAGATGCTATTGTGATTTGTTTTACAGATGAGAAACCTGCAGCTCAGAAAAGCTAAATACCACTCAACACGCTAACAACCAGTCATGAATCTGAGATGCAAAACAAGGTCTTTTGACTCCCAAGTCTCTGGTTCTTCCCCTTCCCACACTGGTCAAAACAGTATGGACTTAAGAACCCATGAGTCACATATTAACAACGGTTCCTGCTAATATTTCTCAGTGTATTAATTTCCTGTGTTCTAATTATTACCCAATAAAGACATGTTGTATCCAATACAAGTATGTTAGCCAGTGTACATTTCTATTCACCATGTCCTGTGTATAAAACTCCAGATTGTCTTTTCTTAAAAAAAAATGTGTTATTTCAAATTTATATATTTCATACAATAATAATCTCTTCCTAACCAACAACAGACAAACGTGAAATTCAGTAATACATGACACACTACAGAAGAATCTGTGGGACTAACCTGAATTCAGAACAGCACAACAGAAACAGAAACAAACCAGGAAATTAATTACAGAGCTACGTTTCCAAGTAGGGATTGTGGTAGCTACCATAGCAAAGCTCAAATAACCTATACAGCCATGGGACACCCAAAGATGTAATTATAGCTCTGTACACAAATAAATAAGTTAATTAATTAAGCAATTCAATACAGCCATGGATCACTGATCCCTAAGTTCCTTATTGAGAAACTCCAGCTATCCAGATCACCGTAGAGGTTCAGGAAGCAAAGAAATCCAGCTCCTGACCAACCAAAGAGATGCTGCAAAATAAATTATTACAGTTTTAATTCCTCAGCTGGGCTGAATTATTTTTCCTGTTGTCGTTTAACTTCATTTTGAAATGCTTTCAAATAAAAAAAAAAAAATTCCAAAAATAATGCAAACAATTCCTGCACACCCCCACCAAGCTTCCCCAAACACTGGTGTCTTACATATCCACAGTTACAATGACCAAAATTAACCATCAATACACAGTTTATTAAGTAATTTACAGTCAACTTTATCTAAACTTTGTTGGCTGCCCCTATCCACATCCTTTTTTCTGGTCCAGGGTTGGCACTGTGCCTATAGCTGTCACGCCTCTCCCAAACCAAGACGGTTCTTCTCTCACAGACACTGAAGAGGACTGGCCACTTATTTTGTAGATTACCTCTCAGTCTGGGTTTGCCTTAGGCTTTCCAGTGACTAAATTCAGGCTTTGCATTCTGGTAAGCATAATCCTGCTAGAAGGCAGATGACGGCCATGTCTCATTATTGATCAAATAACTTCTGATCACTTGGCTAGGGGTGTGACTATTATATTTCCCACTGTAATACTGATGTTTTTCCCTCTGTAATCCATAAGCTTCTTGTGGGGAAGATTTCAAGACTGACTAAACACCTGGTAGTTCATCAGACTTTCACCTATAAATTTTACCCTTCATTTATGATTCTCGCCTGCAGTGACTAACATCTCCCAAATGGTGATTGCTTGTTACTAAAGATGAAAATGTTAGCCCATTGATTGATGTGTGGAGGTACTTTCTAGGAAAGGACACAATAAATTATATGGCTGTATAGTTAGAATAAGAATTGTTATCTATGAATAAGCTACTCTCTTACACTCCTTCTTACTGATCTGGTTTAGGGGTTATACCCACTTTCTATTTAAATAATACAGTAAATCACACCATAAAAATAAGTCAAATTATACTCCTAATCTCTAGAATGCCAAAATATGAAGGAAAAAAATTTAGTGATGACTCTGTAATAAGTTGATTAGAAATTTTTTATTCATGCTTTTGACCATTACAAAACTAAAACTGATATTGGATCCTGATATAGATATGAAGTGTGGCCCCAAAATTCATGTTGAGGGCGTGATCCCCAATGCAGCAATATTCAGAGATGGAGACTGGAAAGCGGATCGGGTCATGAGGGCACGCATCAGTGGATTAATCCAGTGACAGGTTCATAGCTGAATGGGTTATGAAGAGGCGGGGCCGGCTGGAGAAAGCGGGCCACAGGGGTGTATCTGGGTGTATCTTTCCCTGGTCTCTTCCCGGCAGCCATGAGGTGAACACCTCTCCTCAGTCAAATCAGTCACCCTTGATGTTTCTGCCTCGGAGCCAGCAGACTACAGACTAAAACCATGAGCCCACACAAACCCCCCTCCTTTCAGTCACAGGTATCAGGTGTGGTCTCCCAGCAACAGGACGGTGACCAACACACGTCCAAAAACAAACCACCCGGTGTCACGTATGTGTAAACAGAAAGCAGTTATCAGTGAAGTGATGAACTGTGAATTAGTTACTGCAGACAAACACTGAAATCAAACATTAAATGCAGACACCGTTATCTCTTTTAATTCTAAAAATTTAAATTGCTGAAATCTTCAGAATTAGAACTATTTGGAATCTCTGTCTTAACAAGATTCCATTCCAAGCCAGTCTACAATCTACAACAAGATTCCATGCCAACCCAGTCTAAAAAGGATGTATAGATCACAAAGAGCTTATTCTAGTACAGCCACACTGCGTAACGATATTGTTGCTTTTTCAGGCTTAGCTGGCAGTACCAGCAACCAAACAACAATCTGTGTGGTCATCATTATTTTGTCTTTGTTGCCTTCCCCAAATGTCTTTCTCACATAAGAGATAGGGCTGACCTGACCAAAAACCTACACACCAGCCAGACTCTTGGAAGAAGATTCTCAACTTTCGCTTATCTAGCTAATTCTTGGCAAGAAGATACTAATATACATAAAAAGCCCCCTCCACTGTTGCAACATTTGGAATACTCCACTCAATTTGAAGTATAAAATTTAACAGCATCTCTGATAGTGTATGGAGAACAACATTCAGGAGGTACAGCGATGTGAGAACTCTACTCGTGAAGGAAAAAACCAAATAGGATCGAGTCCAGGGTCTTTGTGCTAAGCTAATTCCCAGCCTTTTTAGTTTTTAAATTTGAGACGGGTTCTTGCTAAATCGCTGAACTGCCCAGGCTGGGCTTGAAACTGTGATCCTCCTGCCTCAGCCTTCCAGAATGCTGGGATTATAAGTGTGTACACACCACCATCCCCAACTGATACAAACTTTATTATATATTTGTCATCTCAGGAAGACTGTCTCTCCGGAGGAGAGTGCTCTTCATTTGTCTGAGAGTCCAACACAAGGCTTTCTGCTTGCTCAGCAAATGTTTTTTGAGCCCTTTAGGTGAC